TATTCAATTCTTAACAAAGTTTAAAGCATTAAATATGAAGCATTTCTTTTTAACATGATTTATATATTTCAATCCTAAAATTATTATAACACTTAAAAAAGAAATACTAATTTCTTCCAAAGACAGAAATAAGGCAATAATCTTACTTTTTATTTCTCCTCTTCCATAAAAACATCAATAGATCACTCAAATAAATATCCAGAAATTCTAAAACCAAAACCTTAGGAATTTTTTTTTTGCAGTTTTTGGCAGGGGCTGGGTTTGAATCCACCACCTCTGGCATATGGCGCCAGCACCCCACTCCTTTGAGCCACAGGGGCCACCCTAAGATAAGAATTTTTAAAACAAATAAGCCCGATTAATTGCTATTCCTGTATTCTATGAGACTCTAAAATATAGCTAAAGTCATTTGATTACAACGGTATGACAAATATGGTCAAATGTGTTTTATAGTTTTCCAAAGTTAATCATGAAAAATTCATCCATATTAATACAGGGTATCACAAAAATTGCCCCTAAAATCACTATACATAGGGAAAATTGGAAACTTTAGGTAAATATACCTATATATACAGAATATTCACTACAAAATTTTACAAAATATTCTATACATGTTGGCTAACTCTTATAAGCTGTAGTGAATTTCTCATTTTCCTTCTGTATAACTTTAGGGGTGATTTTTGGGACCCCCTGTATTTTGAATAAAGAACTAGTATTCGAATTGTTTCCGAATCAGTTTTTAAACCCCAGCACCATTCAGTTTGGATGAATAATCTCTGCTGTGGAGGCCGTCCTGTACATTACAGCATATTTAGCAGCACCCTTGCCCTTTACAAACTGCTAGGTGCCAGTAGCATCTCTCAAGTTGTGATAGCTAAAATTATCTCCAGAAATTGCCAAATATCTCCTCAGGACAAAATAGTCCTTGATTGAAGACTACTATTTTAAATGCAGTAACATGAGACAAATTTCTCTCATAATTCTATCAGGAAAAAAAGTTTTCTGCTGATGAAACGGTGCCTGCCCCCTTTCATAAGATAATTATAGATTCTCTCATGTTTCATTCCTTATGTCACAACAGTTGTCCCCTTTGGATTCCAAAATCTACAGGTATTCAAGTCTCTTGAACATACAGAGACTTGAATAATGGAGTAATATTTGCCTATCACCTATGAACATTTTCCCATATACTTTAAATCATCTCTAGATTACTTGTAGTAACTAACACAATGTAAACATTATTTTCAAATACAGAAAAGTATAGAAGATCAATAATGAACCCTATTTCACCATCATTCAGCTTTAATAATTGTCTAAAACATGGCCAATGCTTCACCATTACCATTGGAATTTTTAAAAAAGCAAAAAACAATGCTAGCTAGGAAGTTGGTACCCTAGCAATCTCCAAATTATTTTCTTAATCTTATCATGAAACTTCTGGATTTAAAAATACTGGATTTATATTAAACCACTTTAGTCATTAGTCCTTTTTATGTTCACATAGTCCATACAAAGCCAATGATAGCCCCTTAATTCTTGTTCTTCTATCCTCCTTATATGACCCCAGTAGTTTTGACCGCTTCTTAACTTTTGATATTAAATGTAGCTATAGTGCAGCACTTTTCAAAGTTTGGTTCCTAAACCAGGAATGTCATCAACACCCAAGAACTATTAGAATGCAAATTTGTGGGGCTTGCCCCAAACTCAATGAATCAGAAACTCTAAAGACAGGAGCCAGAAATCTATCTTTTAATTTTTATGTTGTGGCCCTGGGTAGAGTTCTAAGGCACCATCACAGCTCACAGCAATCCTCAATCTCTCGGGCTCAAAAATCCTCTTGCCTCAGCCTCTCAAGTAGCTAGGACTACAGGTGCCCTTTGCAATACCCAACTAGTTTTTCTATTTTTAGTAGAGATAGGTGTTGCTCTTGCTCAGGCTGGTCTCAAACTCCTGAGCTCAGGCAATTCACCTGCCTTGGCCTCCCAGAGTGCTAGGATTATGGGCATGAGCCACCACACCTGGCCCAGAAATCTATTTTTTAAAAAACCCTCAGGTGACTCTAACGGATACTAAAGTTTGAGAACTACTAATCTAGGTTATTTCACATGCTTCCTTCTCCAATCCTGGAATCAGCCATTTCTTCAAGAATCCCTAGCTTCTTTTTGTAGTAATCACACAAAATGATCACAATTTCAGTGCTAAGGAAATCCACTACCATGGGTTGTCATCTGCAACAATGTGATTAAGAAATGTACTTAAGTTTAAGTAACAGAGTAGTTAAAGAACTGGCAACAGATTGTAAGTGTAGTCCAGTGCTAATTTGTAACCCAGTGCCGTTTTCACTATTTTGGACTGCATTACACCCATGCATAACTTGCACATGCCCACCAGCTATCATTTTTCATAATTTTGATATCTATCATATACTGAGACACCTTGGAAAATTCAGTTATCTACTCTAGTTAAGCCCAAGAGCTGGAGGTTGCTGTGAACTGTGTGATGCCAAGGCACTCTACCATTCGAAGATAATTATGAATTGCCACGGTAGAGTGGCAAACTCTGTCTCCACACACACACACACACACACACAAATAAACAAATAAATAATATTTTGCATCTTAAATAAAAGAAATAAGAGATTATATATGAAAGAACTTTTGCTTTTATCAGAACTAATAGAAGATGGATAAAGTATCTTTTGTTTACAAAGATAGCCTGTTATACAAAACGTTAAATTGGGGTGAGGGAAGAAGACAAATGAAATAGTTAAGGGGCTATAAAAAAAGATTTGTCATAGCCTAAAATATTTTCTATAGTTAAAACATAATGTGGTTATGATTCCAGATGGAAGGTTAAGTTGAAACCCTAGAAATAGTCAAATTATTAACCAGTTTTATAAAATATAAAGATGCTACTTCAAACTTATAAGCAATGAAATAATTTCCTATAAAGATTCTAGAGAAGTTGTTAGCTATAAAGGAAAAAAAAATTCTCACCACACAAAAATACCCTAAAATAAATTAAAAGGTAAAGGTGGCCAGGCATGAGCTCACGCCTGTAATCTTAGCACTCTGGGAGGCCAAGGCAGATGGATTGCTTGAGATCAGGAGGTGGGAGACCAGCCTGAACAAGAGCGAGACCCCCATCTCTACTGAAAAATAGAGAAACTAGCTGGGCATAGTGGTGGGTGTCTATAGTCCTAGCTACTTGGGAGGCTGATGCAAGGGGATTACTCAAGCCCAAGAGTTTGAGGTTGCTATCTAACCAGGGTGACAAAGTAAGAATCTGTCTTAAAAAATTTTTTTTTAAATAAAATTAAATAAAATAAAAGGTAAAAAATGAAAGCATAGAACTTTAAAATATTTATTGGTAAATATACTCTCAAAATGGGGATAAAGTACGCAAAAATTCCATGGGAGGAAGCTAACAAGGAAGGAAGAGAGATCTGAATTACATTAAGAAACAAATGAAAATTTAAGACATGAGAAAACACTCAATGCCATTCATCATCAGAGAAATATAAATAAAAACAAAAATGAAATACTTTTTACCCATTTGAGTTCCATTTTTTAAAAAAGAAAGAACAGGAAAAAGAGAAAATTGCCAATATTAACTGTTGGCAAGGATGAGGGAAAATTGGTTTGCTGCTTTTTCCAAAGTTCATGTATTTGAGGAAATTAATACTTTTTGTATAAGGAGTATAATGAGTAAAAGTTACATAAAAGATAAATTTTAAAAAAGAAATACAGGGCAGAGTCTTCACGTCTTAAATGAATTTGTTATAAAGCCTTAAAAATGGCTTCTCTGTAACTCCTCTAAATCTCTCCAGTAAAGATTATATAATTATGCAATTGTGGCATACATGCTACATCATATCCAAATAGAAATTTTAACCAGAGAAAAACAAACCTAGTAGTGCCTTAGTAGTCTTATCAGGAGCGTCCAAATTTATGGTATTCTTTACGTCCAGCAAATTTATGGTATTCTTCTCTAAAATCTAACCTTCATCCTGAAGAGTATGGTCGAGATAAATAGGGCCAGGCGTGGTTGCTCATGTCTATCATCCCAACACTTTCAGAGGCCCAGGTAGGAGGAACACTTGAGGCCAGGAGTTTAAGACCAGCCTGACCAAGAGTGAGACCCTGTCTCTTCAAAATCTGAAAATTAACTGGGCACACCTGTAGTCCCAGCTACCTGGGAGGCTGAGACAGAAACATGGCTTGAGCCTAGGAGTATGAGGTTGCAGTGAACTATGATGATGCCATGGCTAGCCTGGTTAAGAGGCTACAGATCAAGAAAGTCTCAGTGAAAAGCATGGCTGAGCCACTTATAAAGCTTAGGAATGCAATGTCTCTGAGTCTATTTCCTCAGAGAATACTAAGAAGGTGAGAAAAAAAAAAAATGACCAGGGCCTAGTTCCAAATACTGGGAATCTAATTGGCCCTAAGAATACTGTAGTTGCTACTATTGTTATTTAGCCTGGTTTAATTAATTTTTCAATAATTAGATTTATACATCAATTATCATTTCATTGAACTAAAAAAATAGAGATTATATGTCCCATATGACTGTAAAAGGGAAAAAGAAGGAAAAATTCAGGAAAGAAAGGTGGAAGGGAAAGAAAGAAGAATGGAAAAAAGGAAGAAAGACACAAACCAAGATTAGCAATGCATTTTAATGAATGGGACTGGCAGTTACAATGACAACCCCGAAGCTTAATATAATCCACTCATGAAATTGTCACTGAACTTACCAATTGTAATCAACTTCCAGCAAGATGAACTTTCTCTTATGCTGAGGTATCTTCACAAAGCTGTGGAATAAAACTGTATTTTCTATTTAAAGCCATTCCTTTATTGTTAAACAGTTGATCTGAGAGGAAGGCAGCAAGCAGGGTTAGAAAGAGAAAAAAAGAGGAGGATAAAGATGAAGAGAAAAACAACATGCGGTTATGGATCAATCTCTTCACGCGATCCTTTCAGATCTCCTTGCAGCCTAACCTGTAGTTGCTGGGAGCTGTCGTTGAGATTATCCTCCCTTCGCCGGGCCTCCTCTAGCATCTGTGCACTCTTCTTTTTTTCCACCTGTTCCTTGTGCTTCAGATTTGCTACCTTCTTATTCTGGTCTTTCACTTGCCTAATAATGGGAAGAGAAAAATCAAATCTTGTATATGTACACACAGAAAAGAATACGTTTACTTCTAGACTTACATCAGTGACATCAAGGAATAGCTGAAAACCAATAAAGAATACCTCCTGTAAAATGTTTTCAACAATTCCAAATTCTTTCATACCAATGTAAGCAAACTGTTGACAAAATTATCTCTAATGAACATGTATTTCAGCATGTACTTTATAAAGCACAATGAAATCATGAAACAAAAGGCAACATGGGATAATTTTAAATGACAAAAATGACATCAAACCAGAGATTTATGTTGCAAAATTAGAAGCAGTTACCTGATAACAATGCACTGAAACATTAGAATGGATGATTAAGAAAGATTTTGTAATATCACTCTAATTTTACTATTATTAAATATTTCAAACACTACAAGGCTATACTTTATATATATGTGTGTGAAAATAGTGATGTAACTATCTAGGAACCCAGTTAAAGGAAGAGAACAGTATACCTACTTTGGGTGCCTCTCTCTAGCTTATCCACTGCCTATTTAGTCTACCTCCACTGACAAAAGCAACCCAAATCTTAAAATTTGTGTTAAAATCCTCTTGCTTTTTTTTTTTTTGTTATGCTTAAGTATATTTTTATCGATGGGAAGGTTATTATTTATGTTTTCAAATGCAAAAATAAAACAAATAATTTGGACAGTAATGATTCTGTTTTACAACATGCATATGTATATAGGCACAGTTACAATAAAGGAATATAAGGATTTAGGAAAAAATGACATCTCCATGATCCTGAATCTTTCAATTTGCTAATACAGTACAAACACTCTTCAACTTACAATGGGGTTACATCCCAATAAACCCATTTATAAGCTGAAAATATCATAAGTCTAAAATGCATTTAATACACTGAATCTATAATGTATCATCTGTTTACCATGGAGCCCACATGGCTGACTGGTTATCTGTGGCTCACTACTACTGCCTAGCATCATAAGAGAGGATCACGCCACATACGGCAAGCCCAGGAGAAGATTAAATTCAAAAATTTCAAGTATGATTTCCACTGAATGTATATCACTTTTATGCCATTGAAAAGTTAAAAAATCATAAGTGGAACTATCATAAGACAGTAGGGGACTGTCTGCATAGCTTTCCATTTATTTAAGTCAAGGCTTACAAAGATGCATTATACTTTCCTCATAAAAGATCTGCATCTATTTTATTCCATGAATGTTATTGTCATTTTAAATTCCAGACATAATCTCATTATACCCACATACATGCTTCCTATGCATTTCCCAAAAAAGGCATTTTTCAACACTGTGAATATTAATGAAATTAATAATAATTCCTTGGTAGCATATTATACATACTCCATATTCGTATTTCCTTGGTCATCTCAAAAAGTTATTTTTTTTAGCAACCGGTTTGTTTGAATCAGAATTCAATAAGAAAACCCACATACTGTCTGTTAGATCTTTTAAGTTTCCATTAAACTAGAGAAAAAGTTTCTTACATGCTTCTCTGCCCCCTTTTTAATGCCAGTGATTCTTTAAAAGAAACAGAGCCAGGTTTTCCATAAAATGACTTACATTTTATGTAAGTCTAGATTGTACGTTTGCTTCTTTTTTTTTGCAGTTTTTGGCTGGGGCCGGGTTGGAATCTGCCACCTCCAGTATATGGGGCCAGCACTTTATCCTTGAGCCACAGGTGCCACCCAAGCTTTTTTTTGAGACAGAGTCTCATGCTGTCACCCTGGATAGACTGCCGTGGTATCAAAACTCATAGCAACCTCAAACTCTTGGGCTTAAGTAATTCTCTTGCCTCAGCCTCCCAACTAGCTGGGACTATAGGCAACCACTACAACACCTGGCTATTTTTTTTTGGTTACAGTTGTCATTGTTGTTTAGCTGGCCTGGGCTGGGGCCACCAGCCTTGGTGCATGTGGCCGGCACCCTACCCACTGAGCTACAGGCACCACTATTGTTTGCTTCTTCATGGTGAAATGTAACTTATTTCTCTGTCTCCTGATTTTTTTGTTTCTTTTGATACTAAATGTTAGCTATAAAGATATAAATAAATTCCGTTTTGATTTTTTAGGTGAGTCTTATATACTTGATATTGCTTTGCATCTGAAAGCATGTAATGTCTGGTTTTGCCACTCATTTTTTCTCCCAACTCTTAAAGAAGCTAGGATTCACCAGTGACTTAAAGCAGTGATAGCCTGATTATCTTCTAGTATAAAGCTCACCATTCATCAACATTTTATCTAATGGTTCCATGCAGTGATGAACTTGTCCTGAATAAATTATCTTAATGGTATCTTTTTTAAAATTCTATTTTCCGATGGCTTTCTGCTGGCATACAGATATGCACATCATTTCTATATATGGGTTTTATATGGGGCAAAGGTGGTAAATACTCTTGCTAATTCTTTTTCTGTAGATTCTTTTGGGTTTTCTATGGACATAATTATATAATCCACCCCAAAGAAAACCAATAAAGCTCTTAAAACTGATTTAAAAGACAACATTGAGGCCCGGCGCCTATAGCTCAACCGGCTAAGGCGCCAGCCACGTACACCTAAGGTGGCGGGTT